ATAGCATTATGTTAAGTATTAGGGGAGAGGTAACTTCCTGGTTTCAAGATGACAGTTTAATATATCTATATCTTTTTTTTTTGTACTTTAAAAATAAAGGCTATAAAGTAGCCCATAGAAGGTTTCAAACATGCGGCCTGCAACAGAGTTGAGTGCAGGCTTAACCAGATTAAAATGTAATTGAGAAATATTTAACAAAATAAATAAAAACACAACATAGATAATATTACACTTTAAAACTAAGTCAATATGTAACTTGCAGGGATCCTTATATATGGACCATTGGTGCCAATTCTATTTGAATTTGACACAATTGCCCTAAAGTATTTGGCTTGTTTACTGCACCACCACTACTCCACAAGGACAGAATGCCTGAGAACATTGACATAAGAAATCCTCCTGACCCCAAGACCAGAGGTTATCTACTGTGCAATCTAGATGCCCAAAATATCTATTTTTTGAAAAAGATGGTGCACACATAAACACACCTCCTTTTCTCAACTACAGCCGCCTAATTAGGGGCACTACATTTATGAGTGATCTGTGCAGATGAATGACTATTGTTACTGTTTCTGACCAAGGATCACACTTTATAACAAGCTGATGCCTTCTGAATATTGGGGGAAAGAAGAAGAAATATGATTTTGTATTTTCCAGTTGATTACTGGCTTGTGTGAGCAGGTGTAGGAACCTAATCACCTTTTATAAAGTGATTTTTTTTGAATAAATGCACTCCAAATCTTAAATAGATGCACAAACCACTTTAGTACACAAGACATTTCAAAACTGGAAGCTGCCTATGATCTTTTCTTCAATAGCAAGGGCAATGATAATTTTATGGTTTATAGTCTTCACTTCTATTGCTTACTTTACACAGCTTCTTTTTGTTCTCTACTCACAAGTCAAGAGATAATAGATAGTACTTTCCCCTTCTAAGTTACAAGCATGTTCATCTAAAATTTATACATGACAAAGCAAAAACAAAACCAAAGACAAATATCCTCTTTTTGGTTGGCATCTAAAAAGAACCGTAATTTGTCTAATGAAGTTAGAGTGTTCTAGTGTATTAAATATATAAGCTGAGGAAAAAGTAATGGGAATGCTCTCCATCAAAGCTAGTTTATAATTTGTATATCATTTTATTTTATTCATGGAATTAAAAAGTAAATATGTAAGATAAATCTTTCTTTACTAGCTTGTGACTTTTGAGCATATTTTTATTTTAGGGTCAATTTTAACTAATGGGTTTTGGGAGTGGACAAATTAAAAAACAATTCCAAAACATCAAAGGGCATGAAAATCAACATAATTTGTGAAGAAGCAGTTAGTATGCCACCTATGCAACCAGTGACATTTTAGGGGGAAAAAAAAGCAGAGTCAAAGTGAAGATTTCCTACTGAAATTTCTACTTGAATTAAACCTTAACCAAAATACTTGGAAAAGCATTTCTTTTAACCCACTCTCCTCAATGTTTTACTAGTATTGCTACTCCCCCTAGAGGCAGAAAATGTAAATAAAGTGTAAGTCCTAAGACTTTTTACAAGCAAAAACAAATAGTTCTACTTCCAAGAGAACTACTAATTCAAGTAAAGGCATATTACTATTTATGTTAACTCTTTCTCCCAAACACAAAGAAAAGTTGGAATCATTTATGTAAAAATCATTTTTCATTGTTTGGTACTATTTTAATGGTCAAGTACTACAATGAACTGAATATTTCCTGCAGTTAACCCGGTATTCAAATTAGCTTATGTATTTGTCATAGCAAAATAGCAGAGCAGACATTTTTAGCAAAGTTCATATAATCTCTTCTCAGATTATTTAATACGTAAAGCAGTGAAATGCACAGAATATGTAAATCACTGAATGAATAGGATATCTTATCTTGAAAGGTGCCTAACAAAAGGTTCAATAATTGAACACCAACAAAATTATTAGTGCATTGTGCAAGTACAATTTTGTTGGTAGCACAGAACATAAACTGTTAGGTAAGATCAGTTGTAATTTTTACTTAGATTAAGTTTCATGATGTTTTTCTTGAAATTTTGCACAGCACTTTGATACACATAGACTATTGAACTGAACTGAAAATACTCTTAAACTTAGCCTATGACCGTATATGCTTGACCTCTCTTAACTCCTAACTCCAGATGAGAATATTTGTTGGAAACATCACAAAAAAGATTCTGACCAGTTAAAAATTCGAGTAGATCGGGGATTCCTGACCTTTTGTATCATAGAACTCTTTGGCATTCTAGTGAAGCTTATGAACCTCTTCTCAAAATAATGCATTTAAATGCATAAAATATATAGAATCACAAAGAAAACAAATTATATAGCAAGATATGTTTTTACCATCCAATTTCAGACTCATTCCTGCCTCTGAAATATATACGTGAACCCCTGAAGGTCCATGGACTCTAGGCCTAGAAAGTCTCTGAGATCCCTTTCCACTTCTGAGATTCTGTGTGAAGAAGAAAGTTGTTTTTCCTCAGGAAAGGACAATCTTCTTACAGGAGAGTTCTATAAAATGGTCATAATACCGACATTTATATAGCGCTCAAAATTTCACAAAATGTTTTATCTGTAAACACCTCATTTTAATCTTTAAAACCATATGAGATAGGTAAAGACAGTTATTATTATCCAGATTTTACATATGAGGAACTGAGGCTCAACAAAATGACTCATCCATAGTTACATTGCTTTTAAGCGTCAGAAAAAGGATTTGAATCCTTGTCTCTCCTGATTCCAAGTTCAGCACCCTTCCCACTATACCACAAATCTAAGAAAAATCAAGCAATAATCATTTATCAAGCAGCTAATAGGTGCCAGGCACTGTAATAGGCACAGCAGATATGAATATAATCAATGATAAAATCCCTACTTCCAACAGCTCATATTCCAGAAAAGGAAAACAATAAGCACACACACACACACACACACACACACACACACACAGAGACACACATGTGCACATGCACAAACACGTACGTATAAAATTTAAAAAAGCATATAAACACACAGTATTTAAATACAAGGCGGTTTGATGAGGCACTAGCCGTGGAGGGGATGAAATTGAGAAAAATCTTTGTGTAGAAGGTGCTGCTTGAACTAAGGCTTGAAGAAAGGGATTGTGTTAGACGGTGGTGAAGAGGGAACACACCTGAGGCATGGGGGACAGCAGTGCAAATGCCTGAAGGTGGGATATGGAATGGAATGAGAGAAAAACAGAAGAAGAGCTGGACAGTAGAGTGTAGGATGGAGAACTGTGCACCATGAGGCTGGAGAAATAGTTGGAGCATGGTTGAAAGGACTTTAAAAGCTAAACAGAGAAGTTTATATTTGATTTTAGGGCAATAGAAAGTCACTGGAACTGAGTAGGGGGAGGATAAGATCAGATCTGTACTTAATAAAAATCGTTTTGGCATTAATGTGGAGGATGAACTGGAGTGAGGAAGAGACTTGAGGGAGGGAGACCAGTTAGGAGGCCAATGCTATCATCTAGCTATGAGGTGACAAGGGCCTAAACTAAGGTGATAACTGTATGAACAGACAGAAGGGGTCAGATTTCAGAGATGTTGTGGAGGTAGAAGTGGCAAAATCTGGCAACTGATTTTATATTTGAAAAAAGGAAGAGAGAGGTCTTGAGGATAATGCCAAATTACAAACTGGGGAGGCTGTAAGAATGGGTGCTTCAGATGTTAAAAAAGAAAGTCTGGAAGAGGGGAGGGATTAGGGGAAAGATAAATTGTTTTTAGTCATGCTGAGTTTGAAGTATTTCTGGGAAGCCCCAATTGAAATATTCAATAGGGAACCGAAGTGAGATTGAAGCTCAGGGTCAAGAGAATAAGACTAGCTATAAAGATCTTGAAATATTAGGCATACAGATTATCCAACCCATGGGAGCTACTGAAGTCACTAAGAGTGAATAGACAAGAGCAGGGGACTTAAGACAGAGACTTAGAACAGAGACTTAAGAGAACACCTGTAGTTAAGGTGCATGATTTGGATTAGGAACCACAAAAAGAAACTAAGAAATAATTAGATAGGCAGGAGTACCAGGACAGAACAGTGTCAAAAAAAGCTCAGAAAGTAGCATCCAGCAGAGATAGTCAAAACTGTCAAATACGGCAGATGTATTCTATCCAGATGCTATTTCCAACTAAATTTTATAATGTGATAGGGTAACTTTTTTCTGAGACTACAACTCATGATCATTTTAACTGAGGAAAGAAAGCAGGGTATGGAAACCTCACAATGAGTTTTCCTTCTGGGTTTCTTTGAAAAAGTCAAAGTGTATGATGCAGATGTAGGGGATGTGAGAATTAATTTGAATCTGTTAGTAAATCTCCTCTTTATGCTTCTGGACCGGTCAACATTACATTATGCTGGTATACATATAAACTCAAGGGTTAAACCAAACCAAGTCTTTTTGCCCAAGCTTTAAAGGATGTAAACACATCTAATAATGACTTAAGCAAATGAACCCTAAAACTCACCATAACAAAGTGTTTCACTACCATACCTTCTTCTTCTATCTACACTTTCATAGATATGTGTCTGTCATTTGGTTCTTGAGTTCAAATGCATCAAACTTTTATTACATGGAAGCTACATGCATGGTACAGTACTGTCCTAAGGACTGGATTTTTTTTTTTCTTCTTTCAACGATATTTATTGAATACCTATTATTCAGGGGCAACTGAAGCAGACACAAATTTATCTCATCAGTAAAAATGAGGGGGCTGGGCTTGATGATCTGCAAGGTTTCTTCCAGCCCTAAATCTTATCAACTTGTGTTACATATTACCTTTTAACACAGTTAAGTATGTAATACTCATTAAATATGCTGCAATAAGAGCAACTATAACAATGGATCTACAAAGTTTAGCAGAGAAAGTTAGGAGAATATCATTTTAATGATAGTGTACCTGTGAAACTAAATCAATAGTTAAACCAGAGGCAGATTCATCAACAATCCTTCAATCATAACCTACCTGGTCAACATCAGCATTTCTTGGGAGGAAATACACAATATTGTTAGTGATCATCTGGGATAGCCTGAAAATTTCAAATGTTGAAATAAGTTAAGGAAAAATAACTGACACCAGTTAATTTCTACTAAATGATACTTAATTTAGTCCATTAAAAGATGGTCCCCAATCTAGTTCATAAGACACTTTTATTTTGAAATTTAATAACAAATCATCACAAATAGAGCAAAATCCTTACTACAGAAGCAGTATCATCTCATTTTAAAAACAAAAATCTCTTCCAGGCCATCAGCATATTTGCTCACACCCATGGATGAATTCAAATAAATTTTTAGATTACAACAACAGTCACAGATTGACATGAGAGGAAGCTGTGGCCCAGTGGGCAGCAGCTAGCACTGGAGTTGGAAACTTGCCCATAACACATACTCATTATGTGACTCTGGGAATGTCCCTTATCCTTGTAGTTCCCAGGAAGTTACAGTAAGAAAGAAGGTTCTAGTTGTCTATATCAACGAAATCATAAGTCTGCTTAAAAAAAACAAACAAAAAGATAAAGAAGGGGAAAACTTAATGCTTCTTTATAGAACTTTACAGTTGACAAAACACCTCTTTTATTTGATAATCCTTACAAGTAATTAACCTCTCTGGCTTCAATGTTTTCATTTATAAATTGAAGGGACTGGATTAGAGAAACACCGCGATTCTCTTCCGCTCAAAAATCTATGTTCCTATGAGCTGGCAATATCAACAGCTTCAAAAAGTCAAATACTGCTTCATTTGTTCCATTTATTTTAGACAAAAACAAAACAAAAAAACCCCAGTTACACAACAGATATCACACGGAAAATTTGACACCCCTCTCCCAATACAACTTGGCAATAAAATGTAACATTTACCACCATTTGTAAGTTAAATCACAACAAGGACTTAGAAAGGATATCCATCTGGAGACATCATGGTTCTGATATCAAAGGTTTCTGCAGTAGCATAGTCAGGCCCTCCCCAAGGAGGGCTGAGGAATACAACATCTGCTTTTAAATCTGAGGCCAACAGCATGAAGTCTCCACAGATGAACTCTATCTTATCTGCTACTCCATATACTTCTGCATTGTTGTGAGCAAGATCAATTTTAGTTGGATCAATATCAATGGCAATCACTGGAAAAAGATAAAGGGAAAATGAGTAGATTTTATGAGCCTTTTGAGATGACATTTTATCTCTGCAATGATCTGAATAAATCCTTTAAAGGATCCTTATAGAATGAAAGAAAACTTTGCCTATGATTAGCTTATCCAGTTACATATACCAAAGATGCAGATTTAACTGAAACATTTACAGTTTTAATTGTGACTGAGAAGGCTAGATTGAAGAAATTTTTAACATTTTGATGAAGGGCAGTTTGGGGATACAGATTAGATGCAGAAGAATAATGAATAATGATGTTAATCTGTGATACTCAATATTCTAGCTGTCCAAAATGGTGATTAAATACACTTTCTCTTACTAAATTTTTCTGAATCATGTTACTTTTATGGTATTCAGAGCAAATCACAAGTAAGCTATGAAAAGGAGCACTGAAAGAAGTTGGACTAAAAAGGAAATTAGAAATAGGCTTGGTGTTTTAAAACTTTTATCCAGGTTTTTGCAAAAGCACATGGCAATAGTATTTACAAAATCCTGCCTACTTAAGATTTACACATTTGCCTCCATTTGAATTTGTAATGAAAAGGATGCTTCTACAAACTCATTTTTCTATCACATGTACCAATTTACATGTATTTACTGTGTCTACCATGAACATGCAATGTGTTGAATAACAAGCATTTATCATTGCCACTAAATCAAAGATAACTGATATTCAAAGTCCATAATGCTGAAATTCTAAAAACAAACAAAAACAAACCATCAAAAGTACAAATAGTCAGAAATTTTCTTTTCTTGAGATGGTTTAATGAAACACTTTATAGTTAGTTTTGTGTTTTCAATGAAGCTGCTTTCACTTAATTTACTGCCATTTCAGAATTAGCAATGCTTATATAAGCTCACCTTGGCTTATCTACAGACGTACACACTTGCCACAAAGTATGGACTCCAAAAAACTAGTGCAATACTTAGAAGAGCTAAATGAAACATGATTTCCATGATGATCATGTAAATAAATTATTAAAAAAAAATTCAATAGGTCATGTTTATATGTTACTTTAAAATTTACAAAGCATTAAGTAAATGAGTTCATTTGATCTTTACTCCTTAATGAGATGGAGGCTTATTAATGATAGCTTCAAAACATTAAAAATAGCTTTGAAACATTAACATTTTTGCAAAATAAAATCACTGTACAAAACACACAAAATCAACCAATTAATTACTGCATAAAACCATGCATTTACAAGGACTGACCTATTTCTGTTATGGATACATAAACAAGCAAGAGAGAAAAGATCATATCTTTATCAGCTTTTTAATCTGCTACATTTGTGGTCCAGGAGCAGAATGACAAAAATGCTGACACTAATGAAAATGCAAAGGAGCAAAATGTCTTCTGACATTAAATCTAGTCTTTAAAACTGAGCGTTTTGATCAATTGTGTTTGAAAATAAGATCTGTCTGAAAGCAGCAGATTGTTAAGGACTGACTTTGGGCTGTGAAAGTGTTACTGACAAATGGTAAACAATGAATCTCTACTGGAATAAAGAAAATCATAGCCAAGTGCAAAATCTTTCTACCTACACAAATATATGCATGTAAACAAATAAATGCGTGTGGGTATGGTTAGATAGTTCTCTGAATGAGAAAAATCCTGACACGAATGCAGGATATTTTCAACACATCAACACACCACACACTCTCTCTCTCTCTCTCTCTCTGAATGCCTCCAATACCCAGAAATTCAGCATATTCTTTTACTGGGGACAACAAAAAGAGAACAATTGCTTAAATAGTTTCCTGGCTATGTTACTATCTATCTATCCTTTACAGAATCACCTAAACTTAACAAATATTTAAGACATTTTAAGTTTATCTTTTGTTTAAACAAGAGACTATTGTTTAAAACAGGAACTATTTTTCTATGTCAAGGATGAATGATGATGCCTCTTCTGACTGCAACTTTTAAGACATTAAGAAATGAGATCCACTGAGATCTATAAGTTCTGAATTTTCATTCTCTACACCAAAACTTTTTACTAGTGCTACTACAAAATATTAAAACAGACAGAAATTACATTCACTGATTATCCTTTTTCCCATTCACTCTGAAACCAGGAGACAAAGTTAAGAATACAATCTGGATAGTTCTGACACCAGGGGACAAAGTTAAGAATACAATCTGGATAGTTCTTCTTTCAGAAGTCTTGGTAATTTTTTTTTTTAAAATAATGGAGGCCATCATCATACCTCCTCAGCTTACCCTAAAGAGAATGGTTTTTAAATACATGGCAAGAAAGCTGTCATCCATTCATCTGGGTGATCTGTAGCTAACACTGACTATGTACACAGTGATGTAAAAGGTGACAGAGATACTCAACCTACATATAAGTATCATATGCAATATTTCTAGGATGCTATGAAACATTTCTGAACCTGGTATCTCCTAGATGTTTCAGTAGGACTCAAGGGAAACTTTGTTTTCCTATGGAGTGAACAATAAATAGAGAAACACAATTTTAGATCCAGAGGCTACCATCCTGACAGGTATAGGAGTGACTTTAGTTGAGCTACTGAGGAAGTCATTTAAAGCAACTGAAAGGTGGTGCTTAAAATCATAAAGAGTAACTTAGAAGTACAAGTCCTCAGGCATTAGAATTAAATCCAGTTACAAATGTCACTTTCACAGTTCAAAATGATTTGCGGAGACTACAAAGCTTACTTGTGGGCTGTTTAAAAGACTGGAAACATATTCCCTCTTTCTGCTTTTCTCGAGATTTCCATACCCTAGGTTTGTATTGTCTATTTATTTCTAGGCCCTCTGTATTAGCCAGTACCTAATCTTCATGCCTATGACATCATATATAGGAAACGAACCTGATATACTTGTGTGGAAACCTTGTCCCTCACATTAACACCTTAGGGCCACCTCAGTGAATTGTCCTGGTGTGAAGGGGCAAAGTGGAGAGAGTGTCGGCCTTGAAGTCAGGAAGAGTTAGAATCTTGCCTCACTTACTGTGTGACCCTGGGTAGCCTCTCACAGGTGGAGATTCCTCATCTATAAAATGGGTATAAGAGCACTTGTCTCACAGGATTGTTGGCAAAGATCAAATGAAATTACCTAGGTAAGTGCTTTGCAACCTTCACAGTGTTATGTAAATGCTAATTATTATTATTATTAACCTTAAGTATCCCTGCACTAAGAAAAAATGACAGACAATTTGGATGTACCAAGACCAGGGGTGGCTTTTCTCACTCCCCTCTTTTTCCAGATATCCTGCTCAGACCATGGTGATAATGGTAACTAAAATCCCAATGTATAAACCTCCATGCATAACTGGATTCAGGGGTGTCCTTTGCATGAAATCTTCCTTCCCTCATCGCTTCTGCTTCCCAAAGCCTTGTCTACAACCTGTTTTATTTTAGGCTTTAAGCCATCCCTTGGGTGAATTAAAGGCATAATAACAAAGGCCTATTACTTTACACACTATTGGTTTAACTCTCTTATGAAATCCCAGCTAAATCTCATGATTGCTATACAAGCCTGAGACAATTACTTAAATATTTTCCTAGCTATGTTACTATCTATCCTTTATAGAACCACCTAAACTGAACAAACATTTAAGACATTTTAAGTTTATCTTTTGTTTAAACAAGAAACTATTGTTTAGAATAGAAACTATTTTTCTATGTCAAGGATGAATAACCATGCCTTTTCTGAGTACAACTTTTAAGACACTGAATTTCTGGATATAAGAATATTTTATTACATTTAGATTCTACAAAGCATCTGGTAGCAACATGGCTCTTTTAGTTAAAAATGGTTGCAAATATTTTTAGTGTTTAAAACATGCTTCACTGTAAACATTGCAGACTAACACGAACACAGAGTAATACAAGATGCTTACATTTCAACTGTTTGAAGCAAATACATACAGAGACAAACTGAAGGAAAACAGTTTTCTAATAGTTGATTACCTCTTTTTCCTGTTAGGGCAAACTGAATGGCATTGCCTCCAACTCCACAAAACGCATCCACTATAATGTCACAGTTGAAGGACAGATGGACACGCCCAGCAATATGTTCAGCAATCTTCTCAGGTGTAACTGAAAACCAGCCCTCTAAAGGGGAAAAATACTTCTCGTTAAGTTGTGCAAAATAACAAGAAATCCAGTCAAGCATAAGCATAAAGTTAAAAATAACTGTTCAGAAAATATGAATTTAGTTGTAAATTACTGTGAAGACACTTAAATGGAAAAAAATTCAAGGCCAAATAAAATGAGTTATAATTAACAAGGGTCTGTAACTGGAATTCAAGTCTTTTGAATTTTAGACTTGTTTTTTATAATATTAATGATTTTTAAATTTACAGAATCTTTTAAATTGTTTTGCAGTGCTTGAATTTTAAGATTAACAGAGATACTGTCAACTTTGTAAACAAAGAGGAATCAATTCCTACAAAACCACCTACCTGCACCTCTCAAATAAAAGCTTTGCACCTTTACCTCCCCCCCTACCCCGGCCCCAACTCAGAGCCTTTGCTAAGAGGACTTCAGACTTTTTATGGGACTTCTATAAGCAAACATTCATTCTGACAACCATGACTTCTGAAGGTGTACAACTCTGGTCCTACAGGAAATTGTATTTAGGCAGAAAACAAGCCACAATTTTTAGGTAACCCAAACATCCAAGTGCACAATAATTTGCTGGGCTACTCAGGATTACAGTGGAAGCCAACAGGTTTTGAATTCAAAATTTTCAGTGTTTAGTTAACTAGCTACCAGCAAAGTAGAGATGGTGGCAGGGTTGCTGAAGAGTTATGAACAACCAAGTTCAAGTCCTGACTCTATTGATACTTATGGCTCTGTGACCTAATAAATACTTCCCCAATATTCCCCACAAAGAAAATGACTGTTGCCAAGCAACTCTCGCACTGGCTGAGGGAGTTTCTTCATCGAGAGTTCCCTATTCCAATGAAACCACAGGTCCAGACCAGAAAGTAACAAAAAAGTAGGTAAGGATGATCAGACATTCTATTTAATGTCACTGTATTTTGTTTTTTAAAAATATAATAAATAAATGATACAACAAAATATTTGCCAATCTGAATCTTTACATTTCATCAACACATATTACTTTACCTTTGTCCAATTTAATCCCATCATCAAAACGTGAGAACAATCTATATCGCTGTGCCCAATACTTGGCCAGCTCAGGAACAGCAGCAATCTCTGGAGGGAGGGGATTTAGAGTTTTGATCTTTTTCTTGTTTTTCTTTTTCTTCTTTTTTGCTTCAATTGTAATAAAAGTATACACAGCATTAAAAAAAAAGTCAAAAAGACTATTTATGACAAATATAGTACATGAGAACTATCCAAAATAACAGAACAAAATATATTCATTATATTACTGTTAGCAAAAAATAAAATCTGCTTTCCTTAACTGATATTGCTGAGCTCCTAAGTCAAAGCAAGTTAATTCTTTCCTTGGCTATCTGGAATAAACTATGCATCTATGTATGATTCTGTATCTTTTATAAAGTCTTTGTGGGAGGACATAGATAAGAAGGTGTGGTGGGGATGGGATGTACACCACTAGACAGATTACATTTTCCTTTGTATTCCCAGTGCTAGAATGTCTAGCCCGAGGAAGGAGCTTAAACTCCAGTCCTTAGCATAGTGCCTACTACATATAAGGAGGTGTTTCATAAATGCTTGGTGACATGACTTGACCACTGAGGTCAAAGACAGAAAGGCTCTAATATATATAAATATAGCTATAGCAATACTTTTCATGATAGCAAAGAACTGAAAATAAACAAACAAACAAAACAGGCACCCATTGTTTGGGGAAATTATGTTCATGATTATAATGGAATATGCTACAGCATAAAACATAATGAATATCAAGAATTCAGAGCAGCAAATTTAGACTTATATGAACTGATGCAAAACAACATAAAATAGAACCAGGAAAACTGTATACACAATTACCATAACAATGTAAATGGAACAAAAAATTGAAGCAGACTGCTATGTAACTATAACACCAAACCTAGATCTGGAGACGAATTGAAAAATTCCTTAAGTGAAGAGGTAGGGAACTATTGGTAAAGTACTGTTTTGTTGTTGTTTTTTGCTAAACTGTTTTTCTTCTTTTTAAAAAAATAATTAAAAAAAAGGTAAACTTTTACCACAGGTAAGCAGTCTTCAAAGGCATGACAGATTTTACTCACACTCTTTGCCAAAGTGCTACTATTTTTGTTTGTCCCAAACAAGGCGGAGTGAAGACTGCAGTGACAATACATACCAACATAAGCCAATAACCATCTACTTTCACTTCTTCCTCTAACTTTTTTTTTTAAATGAAGAAAGACAAAAAGGCAGTAGTCCTGCTGGAGCCTTATCAAGATTATGCTGAACTAACTATACCTTTCCTACAAGTTTCTGTCTTGGGCTCTCTTTTCTTCTCTTTCTATACTCCTTCACTTGGTGATCTCATCAACTCCCAAGGACTTAATTACCATCTCCATGTTAATGATCTTCAAATTAATCTAACCTGCCCTGACCTCTCTGTTGACCTTGGAGTCTTCCATCTCCAATTACTTTTCGGACACCTAACCTGGACCTACCCCCTAAAACCCTTCTTACTTCCAAACTTCCCTCTTATTGTCATGCATACTACCATCTTTCCAGTCTCCCAGGCTCACTCACTCTCTCTCACTCTTCCATATCCAATCTATTGCCAAGGCCCATCAATTTCACCTTCACAAAATCTCTTGAATATACTCCCTTTTCTCCTCTGACACTGCTACTACTGTTACCACAGTGGTGCCAGCCCTCATACCTGAACTATTGCAATAATTTGCAGGTGGTCTGTCAAGTCTCTCTTCATTCTAATCTATTCTCTTCATTCACCTCTTAATTCTAGAGTCTTTCCTCTTTTAATTATTTCCTACTTAACCTATGTATAACTTGTCTGTATATAACTCTTTGCCTGTTATCTCCCCCATTAGACCATAAGCTCCTTGAAGGCAGGGACTGTCTTGACTCTTTTTGTATCCTCAAAGCTTAGCACATTGCCTGGAATATAACAGGCACTTAATAAATGTTTATAGACTGATTAATTGTTATCAGTGGAAAAGCTAATACCAGGGAAATATATTTGTCCTGTGTCTTATCCGCCTCCAATAAAGTCTAATACCCAAGCAAAGAGCAGAAATAACCCATGGCTTATGGTATGAACTGTGCTGATGCAGAGAGTATTCACACTGATGAAAACAGCAGTTCTTGGAATACCACAGCAAATATTTTTCTAAATCTATTACACATGAGTACACTTGTTCTTACCATCTGTTTCTACTTGCAGATAACCTGGAATACCTGGAGTAACCAGTTGCCTTTCAGGAACACATTTTTGTTCTTCTGTTATAGTCGTTTTGTTGTCCTCTTTATCTTCCATTTCAAATTCATTGGTTGAAGAAAAGGCATCACATTTGTCAGGTTCCAAATGACTAATCTCAAAAGGGTCATCACATTTTTTAACAGATCCTTCTTGTTCTTCTGAATCACTGCTTGTACAAGTGTCTTGTGCATCATCCTGAGGGTCCTGTGACGGTATCTCCTCCAATGGTTCATTAATCCATTTGAGGAATTTTTCCACCTGGAATTATGTCACAAACATGCTATACAGACACAGTCATAGTAATCCAACCACACACCAGAAGATTTTCTCTCACATTACTGATATTTGAACGGCTCAATGTTTTACAGAACAATAAAGAATTCTAACAAGAATATTTTAATGACAAGTGAACGCGGATTTATTCAACATAATCCACTGAAGCAATTCTGAACAATTCGCTACTCTAACCCAGCATGATCCATTACACATCTCTAGTACAAGAAAGAAGGCATCAGAGTTGCTAAAAATGGCCTACTGAAAAAAACTTACTATAGAGTAGTTATAATGCCATCTTGCTTTTATTGTTATGTATGGATGTTTTAGGAAGTTCTGGTCAGATAATTATTTCCCCCCAAAAGGAATGTTATATAGATTTATACCCATCAACAGCCTGGCTTCCAGTCTATTCTACCTCTACCCCATCCTTCTCCCTAGCTATCATTCAGGGATACAACTCCTGTGGATAAAAGGCCAACAATCATCACCAACTACTGATCAGCTCATTATCTACAGGACAAGCAAACCAGCCTATATAAAAGAGCAAGGGGCCATGAAGGAGAGAACAGAAGAGGCCTAGTGAGTCAAAACATTGCCACTATTTTAACTACTACCTTCCCTGAGACCTCAATGGAAATAGCTCAGGACTCTGAGCCCAGCACCACCGCTGCAGCAGTCATCCAGGTTTGAAAAAGCCTCTGTAGAGATGTGACCTGAAAACTGCTTTAGCAGGGGCATAAGCCTCTGCTTCCTCAGAAGCCACAGATACTGAAGACCAAGAAAAGAAAGTTCTTATCAACAGAGTCCTTTGCACTGTCAAATGGTTCAATATCAAGGTTTTATTGTAAAAATGACATTAAGGGTACATTACCATTGAACCCTATAAATCACCAGAAGGCTTTCCACCTGATTTGCAACCTCCTATGTGTGCTGTCTCTTCCATTAGGTTAATAACTCCTTAAAAGCAAGGAATGTCTCAACTTTTCTACATGTATTTCGAATGCTTATTAAATGCTTTTACATTCATTCATTCATCCTGGAAAGAAACTATGCTAACTGTCTTAACTAGCATCAAAGATAAATGGAACAAAATTTGGGTACTCTGTATATATCTTATAATTACTTATATGTGTATTTCCTAATATAATGGAAGCTTCTTAAGGGCAGGGATGATTTCATTTTTGTCTTTCTATCCACAGCGCCTAGCAGAGTACCAGGGACTCAGTATGTTAACTAATAATAAATGCTTATTGATTGATTTAAAGAACAAAATCAGTTATATGGTAGGCTGAATGAATACTGGTTTCTAAAAACTAATAAAGACAATGTAAGGTGAACCCTTAATTAAGCCTTGAGCTCAGAATTCATCCCTTCTTACATGACTGGTACCACCACTGACAGTTAAGATTAATCTTCCTAATAGCTAACAGGTCAGACGGAGCATAGTAGAAACAAAACAAAACAAAAAAACTGGGAACAAAGCCTTTGAAGATGTTCTTTGAGGAGGAATACAATGTGGTAAAGTAGAAAGAGCATGGACTATAGTGTCAGAGGATCTGGGTTCAAATCTCATTAATTAAAATAACAATATGAATTTTATCCCTGAGAGTTAATGTACTAAGACGCACCTAAGATGCAAAACATCCTTTACAGAAATAAAGAAGGTCTAAATAAATGGAGAGGGTATTCTAGCTATATAAATCGCAATTTAGTTATACCTTACTCAAAGTTTTACTCTTCCGGGAAGATGGTCTTTCTGACTCTTCAGGAAAGAAGATATGTTTGTTTTTCGTATTTACTTGTCTACGCATGTCTAGAAACTGTGTTTTATATTTCACATCTTTCTGTAGGTATTTAACTTTCCGACGACTGAAATTTGAGATTCTACCATATCTGCAAACAAAAATTAAGACATTAGCTGGCTAAGAGTTCATATTAGGAAACGATACACATGAATTATAACTTAAAACTTTTATATCGTATTTTAATGTCTGCAAAGTCCTTTAAGCATTTTATTTCATTTGACCAGAAGCAGCAAGGGTTTTAATTTTATTTTTAGGTTAAAACCACACATAAACATGTAAAAATACAGACAAGACTCATTCATTTCTAATTATTTTTAAGGTTTAGCTTATTGGTTTAAAAAAAGCAAAATTAAATCAGCAAGCTGGAATATGAACATATTGCCTAATACTAAGCTGGAGGACTAGTCATACCCTTAAAAAAAAGATGCAATCAAAATACCAAAACTCACCAACAGCAAAATTCTACAGACCATTAGTATGAATATACATTTAAACATTTTGCCCTATAAAACTAATTTCCAAATTTGGTTTCACAACAAGCCAGGTAGGGTTATCTTTAATTACTTCAAGTTGTCACAAAATTCTTGAAGTAAAATTAACCTTAAGTCACAAAATAAGTGTAGTAAATTTCTATTTATCCAAAGTATTTAAGAGTCTGTCCTTCTCTGGTCTCCCCTACTCTAAATGATTAATCCTCTGAAATCCTAGAGTACCAACATACTCAATTTTAAACACTTTTAACCAAAGATCATATTTTACTTATCACTGTTTCCTGTGTCATGCTCCCTGAACATACATCCTAAATTTTTCTAAGACTACAGTGGAGTGTGAAACATGAACTATATACCTGCTGACTTATTTTAGCTAACCAGGACTTCTTATAGGCCAGTGATTTGGATGTAAGCTACCATTTCCTCCTTAACTTTGATTAATAATCACCATTATTATATTTTTGTACTTTTTTCCTTTCAAAGTTATTCTAGGGTTGAGTCACATTCAGACCAAATCAGTTTACTATTTTAAAAAATTAGAATACAATTCAATATATCTAACAGGAATTTTATTTTATATAATTTAATATTCTGAAGTTGATTAAAGGGCAATTTTAGATATTGTAGTGACAAGGTATTCAGTGTTTCAAGAGGGTTAGTATGACAGAAACAGTATTAGCTTTGAAATCAGTTCAAATCTGATTTCTAACACTTACAACCTGTATGACCTTGGGTAAATCATTTAACCTCTGGGGACCTGTCTCTTTAAGTACAAAATGAGGGGACTGGAGTAGACAGATTCTGAGATCCCTTCCAGCTCCAGACCTATCTTGTAGAAGTACTGAAATAAGCAGTGACAGTCATTATGATACTTATAGCTAGAACTGATATATTATGGTAAGGTTTACAATACGTTTTAGATATGTTATCTCATTTGATCCCAACAACAAACCTGAGAGTATTATCCCCATTTTACAGATAAGGAAACCAAGACTGAATGAAGATAAGTGACTTGCCCAGGGTTACACAGCTAATAAGTGCCTGAGGCCAGATTTTAACTCAGTCCAAGTTAAGCTCAATTTACAGTGCACCCTATCTGAGGAAGCTATATTCATTCTACAGTAATGTGAACTTTCTGATCATTTTAATTCGGGTTGAACTTTAACATGAGACCAAGCAAATAAATAATTTGGCACATAGAACTAATAGCAATGTTGTATAAGTTATCTAGTAAAAAAAATTGTATCATTAATTCATTTTTATCTTACTATAATTGTTATAACAAAACCAGAAACATCAAAACATAATCTCTACAAATAAGTAAAAGTGACTGCAAAAGCTTATGTTTTTTTGTTAAGACAGGAAGCCTGTTTGCTTTAGCTTTAAAATAGCAGTTATCATCACCAGTTGTATTTAATATGAATTCTGTTAATACTGTAATAATTTTCCTTTACTTTATTCTCTGCTTCACTATGCAATATGAATGAGTCACCATAATTTCTTTGAATTCTTCCAAATTTATGCCACAATTCTATTTCTAAATTCATACATGAAGGGTCTGATATTCCATCAGATTAAAATCCATAGATATGTTCTAAAGTTGCCTACACTGGAGATTTTTGTGAACTTATCTTGTATTCTGCTACCTTGCTGAAGCTATTTAATATTTCAACTATATTTTGTGGGTGTCACCTCTCTTGGGCTAGATTATAACTGACGTTTATAAAGCATTCTCAAGTTTGTAGAGCTCTACATACATTAACTGATTTGAGCTTCATAATCATCCTCTAAGGGAGGTATTGCTGGTATGATCACCCTCATTTTACAGATAAGGAAACTGAGGTTCAGAAGTGATTCACCTATAATAGAACTATGAAGTAGCCAAAGTGGGAACTGAACCCAGATATTTCTGATTCCCAGTCACTCAGTCCACTACCTTACTATCACAGAGATAATCCTCCTGCCTGCTCTTCACTAAATGTTTACTCCTTTTTTTTGTCTTGTTGCTACAGTTATTTTTTCTAAAAATAATGGAGACAATCTGCATTTTTTACTTTAGCTCTATTAGTGTGAAAGCTTCTAGTGTTTCTCTGATATTGCTAGCTCTTAATTTTAGAAAGATGCCTTGTCATGTTAGATATTGCAAAGGTCCTTCTATCCCTACACTTTTCAGTGTTAATATGAGGGTTGTAAGTTATTGAAAGCTTTAGATGTATTTATTGACATAATCAAATAATTGTATTGCTTTGAACAAATCTCAAATCCTTGCATTCTTGGTAAAAAGCCAACTTTTTGTAAAACCTGTTTACCAGAATTTTATTTAGTGATTTTGTTATGAAAATTCTTTAACATTGGTTTATAGATAGTTCTTATCTCCTAATCAGATTTTGCCAATCTGTGTAGTTTTAACTTTTAGAGATCTTTATCTATCTCAACTCAATTTTATTTCATGGTTATATAACAAAATTTTAGGTAACTTTATTTCCTCTCCCTTTACTGTGATTACTTCTTCTTTGGTAATTTGGGTCTTTTTTTCTTTTGATTAATTCACCTAATAGTTTCAATTTTCTTCATCTTGAAAATTTTTTTGTTAGTTCAGTTTTTTCCTAATTCATTCTATTCTGCCTTTACTATGAAGCAACTTTCTCTTACTTTTCTCTTTTTTTAGTAAGTGTTTAGGGTTATGAATTTACATAGGATCATTGTGTTAGTCACATTCCACCAATTTTGGTATGCCATATTACTACTATCATAGTTAACTGTTTTTTATTCTTTCTATATTTGGTCTTTCCTCATTATTTGCACACATTATCATTTTAAGGCTTTATTAAGGTATACATATTTTGTTTATATTAATTTATTACTATTTTCATTGTGTTATGGCATATAAAGGAAGTGTTTTAAGATTTCTGCTTTTCTAACCTGGAAAGACTTATATGATCTGATGCTGAGTGAAGTGAGCAGAACCAAGAGAACTTTGTACACAATAACAGCCACGTTATGCAATGACTAAGGTTGTTAAACTGAACCCTTCTCAGCATTACGAGGATCTAAGACATCTCCAGAGGCCTTGGGATGGAAAATGCTGTCTGCATCCAAAGAAAGAACTATGGAAGTCAAATCGCTATCACTTATTTTTACCTTCTGTTGAGTTTTGTTTCATCTTTCTGATGGTTCCTCCTATTGGTTTTAATTTTTACTTACAACTTCACTAATGTGAAAACATGCTTAATGGGTATGTAAATATAAAGCCTATATCAAATTGTGTGCCATCGGGGGGGGGAAGGAAGGGGGAGAAAAATTTTCAACTCAAAAGCATATGGAAGTGATTGTTGATAAATCAAAATAAATCAATAAAATTTTTTAAAAAAAGATTTCTGCCTTTCTTCATTATGAATGATGAATTCTTTATATCCTAGAGGTATCATTTATTTTGAGTGGTAAGAGTAAAAAGTAAAATCTCTAAGGGTCAAATCGACTGTCTTTATATAGAGTTATCAAATTAAGTTTTTTCAATATTCTCTTCAAATCTATAATTTCCTCCTTGTCTTTTGTTTCAGTTGTCAATTTGAGTAACAGTAAAGTATTATACCAATAATTCCCTACTCCTCAAATCCTTTTTTCATTTTGAAAAATTTTAACAGAATTTTTTAAAAAATTAAGCTTTTCTTCTAAATACTTAGTTACTATGCCATTTGGTGTATATATATTTAATATTCATAGTTTTGCTGTCTACAGCACTAATGAGGATGATATAGTTTATCAGTTTCAATACTATTTTCATTTCAGCTTTAGCATATAACAGTATTACAATGCAACTTCCTTATAAGAAGCTAAAGCAAATAAATTATACTCCATTCTCTCATTTTAAATCTATAGTTTTATCTATACTTTAGATGTACTTTCTAGAAGTAACAATGTTAAATTTTATTTTCTAATCTATTTTGGAACCACCTTCTTTTTTAAAGGTAAATTTAATCCATTTAATTCAGAGATATAATTTTTGTTTGAGTTTCTACCTACTGTAATACTGTTACATTGTTTTTTACTAGCCTAACAGGATAGTACATCTTGTTTCCTGAAGATAAATTCTTGACTCTACATAGTTTGCTGTCATATTCCCTTCCCCACATCAAATAAATAAAAGTGAAATACTGATCCTGTGATTCTTTTCAAAGCTTTCTGCCTTTTGCTGATTCTTGGCAGTACTGACTGTATTTTAGGAATTGCTCATTCCAGTCCATCATTTTTATACCTATAGTATCCACATGAATTACATAATGATTTTGCTTTTCTTCTGTTCTCCTTAAATGGAATTTTCCCCATCAACTTCTAGCAACTAATTCCCAGTGTCCTTAAAAGGTGGAACATCAAATTAACAACAGCCTATCTATACCTTCCAATATGTAAAAAGAACCATATCTTCCAGGATAAGGAAAAGTCTCTCTGTACCTAATCAGAACACACTGAGTGGACTGGTTTCAGTTTAAGGACACTGATAAGATGGAGATCCTCCAGAAGAGGGCAGTTAGGATGGAGAAAGGCTGTAAGTTCTTGCCACAAAGGGAGCTTTGGATGTTTAGCCTGAAAAGGACAC